TAATTTATCAGTAATAATTAATAGTATGAGAAACAGTATTACTAATTTTCTTGAGCAGAAAAAGCCTTTCATCTAGCTTCTGCAAATAAAATCCGAATGAGAAATGTATCTATCTACAGAAGAATCTTTGTTTAGAGCCACAGTTGCTATGCTCAAATCTGCAGAACAAATAAATATAGTTATAGCTAGGAAAAAGGACAACGTCTATAATCATATCAGGAGACCTGGAGAAGGGTTTGTATGCATAAAAACCTGCTTGCTCTTTAACAATAATTTCCATTGATCTATTAAAATATACTGCTCCTCCCTATCAACCTTGCGTCAGAACGTATATTGATGTATTTCGAAGCCAGAACAGGCTGTCAGATCTGATCACCACTACTGTACTTGTCAGAGAATGTTAGCTGGTTATGCTTACAATAAGACCATGTCAGTTTTGAGTTTCCAGTGGCTTATATAAAGAAGTAAACTTACAAAAATACATGTCCTCTGACTTCAGCTGAGCTGGTAACTTTGCCTTTAGCATTGCAGCTGCTGTACTTGATGGGTTTTCTCCGGTTCCCGGTATAAGAGAAATTTGAAAATTCCTCACTGTTTTAGAGCGAGTCTCAATCACAGATCTGAAACTCTTGGATTCAGGCAATGACTGGTGAATCTCAGTTCTCAAGAGGGCAAAAAGGTAACTTCCTCACTTCTCATGGCCTGAAAGAAAACTTGAAAATCTAAAGACTCAAGTACCAAAAAAAAAAAAAACAAACAGAAACCAACCTTATTAAATACCACAATTTCTAGACCAGTTTCACATCTGGAAGCCTTGAGTCACGATTCCAAACTGTCCAGCTGCTGCAGTCTTTAATGTTTGACAGACAATCCCTGCACAACACTACAGCACACTCCCTATAAATGCAGTAAGGCAGAGCAGGAGTCACTAGGAGGCTGGCAATATCTGACAGAACATGGCACTCAGCATTCTTCAGCTTTCTCTGTTTCTCAAAGACACCCCAGATTTCCCCCTAAAAGCGTGCTTCCTTTACTGACAGTGCTCTGCAGCTCCTGCCTACAGGAATATACCAGAGATTTTGGCACTACTGCTGTGAAATCCTGAAGCGTTATTTTATAAGGAGCCTTTCCCCCCTGCCCTGCACTGATGGAAAGAATACAAGGCAAAGTCAAACAAAGCTCTTATTCATTGCCTCAGCCCTCTAAGTCACACACTCCCATGCCTACGCATGCACACACAGACACACTTAAGCAAGAGCCTTGTGCGTACTCAAGCAGGCACAGCCCCAGGCAACGAAAGGAGAAAGGGCCCTCATAATTGTCGTTTATCAATATTCATGAAGAACCTGCCTTAACCCCCTCTTGTGCACGCTTGAGAAAAAAACAGAAAATGAAACCCAACCAAAATAAAAATAAAATGAAATAATCATCTTGCTGCTCATTACCGCAGGGGATTTCCTCTCAATGTCACCACTGCCCCGCGCGGTAATTGGCATTATCTGTTATCTCTGAAGCCATAATAAGGTTTGCCACGGGGCATTTTCTGTAATCATAGTTTTATTTGTCAGCTTGTGAGATACAGACACCAAATAAGAGCTTGACCACAGCACAAACTCCGCACAGCCGGAAGACGCGTCCCTCTGCTCTGCTGCAGCATTCCCTCGCCCGAGAGCAAAGGGGCTCTTCCCGAGGAAAGCACAGATTTGAGACCTTCCCCGATACGTGCTCCTACACTGTTTCCAACAGAAAATATAGCTGGCACTGAATTAGCTGAGAGCTCTCCCACAGTACGGAGGCAGGATATTCAAAAGGCACTATTGATTTAGGGCACCCAGCTGAGACACCTTAAAGGCCCTGAATTTAGGAGAGCAGACACCCAGCATTAGGTGAATGGCAGCTTAGGAAAAAAATATCAGTTATCTCCAAAGAAAACGTCCTAGGCTAGGACAGTCTTACACTGATGTCAAAGGAACCCCAGGTTCCTCTGCCATTTCTTGCACCACCGCTGAGCACGTCTGCTCCGGGCACTGCAGCATGGTGCAGAGCCCGCGGAGCTAGCACGGAGGAAAGCTGGAATAAGAAGCAATAATGCTGCATCACTGAGCTAACCGCTCTGCTTGCCAACTCAGGCAGAGCAGCAAGGTAACACAGATACACTGCTTGCAGGATCCCACATAATACCTCTGCATGGTGCTGTCTGTTCGCACCCACGGTTGCCTGTGGGTCCTTAGCACGGCACGGTGCTACGTACACAGAAAAGTCTTCGGAGAACCCTGCTGAGCGTTACCTATAATCTTTCCCCCATGGCCAACCTGTACCAAAAAAACCCTGTAAGTGACTGCACCTTGGAATGAGGTACACCAAATCTTCCCCCCTCCGCCCCCTCAGTTTTCATTGAATAAAATAAGAACAGAAAGCTCATACTTTTTAAGAAAACCACATAGACTCAAGCTCCAAGCCTATTCTGCTTCCTCATCTGAGCTGCTTGTTTGAAAACACCTCTCAGACACAGGTGATCTCTCCACACAGTAGCAGCAGAAACCTTTTACTGATGGGAGGACTGGGGAATCCTTTCTGATTCTTTGATCCGGGAGTCCTGGTGCATCATTACATTTTGAGCAGTGAAAGCTGAATGTGGTTACAGACTGCTGTGAAAGTAGGCCACAGATTTTCCACAGTGTTTTGGGAGGTACAGGAAGAAGATGGGACAATGATACCAGGCTGGGGACACCAGGCTATCAATCTATTCTACCAGTAGGTTAGAGACACCCATATTTAGTCATTAACCAAAGCAGAAGCCTTCATTTTTCAACGTGGTCATAACTGGATAACCTGGCTGATGAGATGATTTGTCATTTCACTGCCCCCCGACAGGACAAGGTCAGGCTTCATTGCCTAGGAAAGCACATTAAGTTTTATACTAGCACACACGCACACACGTATATTTATGCACGCTCTGATTTTCAAAAAGGGTTTAATGGTAACTGCCCAGAACACAACACAGAGTCTAATATAACACAGACCACACAAGTCTCAGAGTGACCCGGAGGGAGGAAGAGCTTATGATTTACTGCTAATTTTTTCAGCACTTGATGCTAGTCAAGTGGGAGTTGGCAAGGAGACGGGGGATTTACTTCTAAAGAAGATTACTGCCCACAGTCCAATATGTTTAACAGAGGAAAATGGATTCCTCAAGAGAGACATGCACTCTGCCTTGGAAATTCCACATATTGTTAAATCTGCAGAGGTGCTTGTCTGTCTGAGGCCTCACCACGATCCTCACTCAGATTACTAAAGTCTGCCATATCAAGAGGTATCCATCACAAGCCCAGAGGACTAGCACATGTGTGTATATATGCATGCTTTCAACTTCTATCCCAACGGAGATTCATATTTCTCTGGAATATTCATTTGGAAGACTAAATAATTTCTTTTCAGTTGTACTTAAACATTTTTCAGTCTTCTTGGACTGGGTCTCTAAGTGTTAAGCCAAGTAGGGAACAGAAACATGTATGTATGCAATCCACCAGTGGTTACACTGCCCATAAAATCTGTACATAAAATAAACCAGCTGTACAACCTACCAAAGATTATGCTGATTATAAGGAGGTCACCATCACTCAACCCAGTTGATTAGCAGGAGGAAAAATTGTGGAATTTGCAGAATAAAACTTGTCAGAGGTCTCTGCCAAGAGAGAAAGCTAGATCCTTCGAAACTTTGGGCACACAGCCTGCTCTTGGCTCCTCTGGGAATTTCTCTGACTGCTGTAACCCTGCCTGTGCCAGGTAGGCGCTGTCCTCAGGACCTTCTCACCTGGATCCATCACCTTTAAACTTCCTCTTCTGCTAACAGTATACTCTTCTTAATATAGCCTTAAGAAAGGCTCTTATTTCCCTCCCCATTTATTAGAAATATGGTCTCTTTCATATTAACCTTTCCTGTTGAAATGAGTCAGAGGTGTAGAGGGAGTGGGCTAGAAAAGCAAACTAAATATTCAGGCATCCATTTTTGATGTGGCCACTTATGCTGTGGACATCTGGTTTGTGAGTTCTTAGCACAAAACTGGGGTTACAGAAAATCACTGTACGGTTACTGAGAAGTAACCACACAGTTATGCAAATCCAACTACTGCAGTATCTATCAGTGGCCCTCGGCCTTGTGGAGGGGGAGATCTGTGGCTGTCTGTGGCTATGGAGAAGCAGCCATGCAGACATAATGTTAATGATCTCCCCCAGCCAATCTAACTGTGAGGAGCTGCATTTCTGAGAAATAAGCTGGCAGTTATGGGTCAGCAACTATACAGAAACCCTGCTCGGACTCATTACAACAACTTGATTTCAGTATAATTCAAATTATCTAAACTTGCTGAAGATGAAGGAGAAACCGGTCCAATTTAAAACACCACCTGAAAGTACAGGTTAAACCACACCTGATGGTTAAATCACATGATAGAATTAGTAGGTACCAACAGCAGTCAGATCAAGGAAATTCTTCCCTACTGGAAAGGAAATTAAAGGCAATAGTGACTCAAATGCCCAGAAGGGACTCAGTGAAGGTTGCCAAAAGCCAGCAGGTTTCCAGAAACTGAAGGAAGCTATAAAATGACTTTGTTGTATTCATAATTGTCCGAAGTTTCTTCAGGGATTCATTTTGATACAGTGTATGTAACTCTCAGTTATTAGCAAGTGCCCCAAGAATGATGGAAATTAAACTGCTTTTTCTTGGTGGTTTTGGTTTTCCTGGTTAAAACATTCCCTGTGAATGAATTCTACTCCAGTGAGAAAAAATGGACAATCTTCTCCATGAAAAGTCTATCTGTGATGGCTGCATTGTCTCACAGACAGCCAAGAATTAAAAAATATATCAGCACCCTACACAACATTTTTAGAGCTTTACAACTTCAGTTACTTAATAGTAAGTAAAAGTATCAAGAAATAAGACCCCTTTATTCTGTGCTTTTACGTAACAGGTAATTCCCATTGGAAGTGGCTGTACTCACCATATGGAATGACTATGGCAGAAGTCTAAAGCAGAGATGATTTGTCGGAAGAACTTCCTGGCTTCTTTTGGTGTCAATCTTCCCTTTTTTACAAGATAGTCGAAGAGCTCCCCACCCGACACGTGTTCTAGCACCAAATACCTAGAAAATAACAAAGCCAGGGTTTTGTAAAGACATTGTCATACCAGCTGCCTCACATACACAGAGTTCTACACAAACACCTCTATTTACATGTGGTCAAGCAGGACACTTCTGGAAGGAACAGTGGAAAAGAATAAGATTTTTAAATCAGGAGTGATTAATTTTTTTAACAGGGGTTCTGCAAACTTCAGACATGCCACTGCTGGCATCAGTGTTCAATATAATAGAGAGAATCTGGAAGCCAAAAATTACTCAAAATACCAGGAGGGGAAGAAGAGAATCATCAGGTATAAGCTTTCACAGCAGCTCTTATAGCTACTGTGGAGTGAGACTGCATACTAGGAAGTCTCAGGTCCCTTAACCAAGCAGACAGCTCGTTTGCAAAACAGCTGTGGCAAAGCTGCACTCACATACTGTTCTATCTTGGACATCTGAGAACCAGACAGATGTCAACAAGCTAGAGGGAATTAAACAAAAAAAAAAAAAGGTGAATAGTTTCAATTATGAAAAAAAGATAAAAAGAACTACATGTATGTAGCCTACTTAAGGGCTTCAGCTTTTGCTGCTGAACAGCAGTGATTTGCTGGAGTAGCTGCCCTCCCTTGCAACTCACATGTGAAAAGTGTGACACTGAGTGAATAAATGCAGCACAACAGGGACCTAAGAAGCAAGAGAGGAAACCCCAGACCTCACATAACACTCCTGGCAGTCACAGAGAGAAAAGTGAAATCTTCTGGAAGGAAAGGACTTTGCCATGGATGGACCATCTTGTTGTTGTAAGTGGGGGTAATGAAAGGCAGCCAAGCAGAGGAAAACTTCGTATAAATCTCTGGAAATGTTGCCTAACAGAGGGAATGAAATAGTTTCCCCAGGGAATTGGTAGGAACACCATTAACTGAACCATTTAAAAATAAACCAGATATTACATGGACTAAGCAATAGACTTCTATTGGCAAGAGGATCGATTGAAACTTGCATAGACTTTTTCCATCTTTGTTGTGATTTTGTATTCTACTGTCTCTCTACTTGTTTGCCCAGCACATACTACTCTAATACAGAATGAAGAAATTATGCCATGAGATAATTTTTTCAGAATCTGAAATGATAAGTATAAACAACAAATTATTATTGGTTTTACTCAAAGATTACTTCTGTTCTTTGGTTCTGTTAGCTGATGTAAAACTGCAAGAGAGGCAGAAACTTGCAAGTTTCAGGCTTGCACAGCAAGGCATGTGATCTGAAAGGTGGTTTCTGCAAAGCAACAATGCAAGGGTGAACAGGGCATTCAAACCTTTGACAGTTTGCTTGAGAGATGTCACCAGAAAACTTGCAAACAAGAATTAGATATTTTTCCAAATTTTGAGTGTATGTCTCTGTCCCCTCCTCCCAACAGCCCAGCAGACCAGGCTGAACTGTACGCGCAGCATGATCCCCACCTCTCAATGCTTTGCTTTTCAGCAAGCTAGTTTTATTACCAATATTAATCCAACTCTTCAGATTTGGGTGGACAATGAAAATAATTAATACAGGATACCATCTTTTCTGTACCTCAAGCAGCATAATCTCTGAATAAATTTCTGAATTTGAAATGGAAAGAGGAGAAGATTATTATAAACTTGGGGGCTTAATTATTCCTGTTTTCAATGTTGCCAAAAAGAGGGAACAGTAGAAGGAGTAAAAGCTGTTCTGAGGCAAGTAAATTTAGCTTAATGATAATGGCATTAGCCTTGAAGTTGCAAGAGTGAGACCTGAGCTCCTGATCCATCATCAGCTCCTGTGCAACTTCCACGTGCCACCTCCCAGCCAGCACAAGGAGAAAGCATTTCCCTGCCTTACAGAAATGCAGCAGAGAATGCAGTAAGAGACAGACATTAATATTGTTTTGCCAGCTAAGTAGTATGAAAGCACAAAAAAGTGGACAACAAAATGAAACTCTAAACTTCAGGGAATGAAAATGATATTTTCTGCAATTTTTATCAAAATAGAAACAGTTACAAGAAATACGGTAATACTGATATTTTTTCATTAGAATGAGCAAAAAGAGAAAACTCTTGACTTGCAAATCACTTTTGGAATATGTGGGTTATCTTGTCTCCAAGAAGAAATGAGTAGTTACCAGACTGTCTACTGAGTACACCTTGGTTATATGGAGATCATTGTTTATCTGCATTACATTTTTTGAGCAAGGCATTGAACCACTCAGAAGAAAGCCGATGTGCAGTAGCCACCAGATGCGCAGTAGGGCACCGGGGTGTCCACATTTTCAAGTCCCAATCCTCACTTTCCAAGCCTTGGCTAACAGACACTCTGATAAGAGGGTTTGCTATATAATTCATTCTCCCTCTCATACTACAGACAGATCTGGCTAACTATCCCATATGGCAGACCCAAGACTGGCACAGAATCAGTCCTAAAATTCTCCTTGACAGCTCCCTCTCTCACCGTGCCCAGCAGAACCTGCATACAGCAGTGCATCTTGCCCCCCCCAAAATCAAACTGATAGCTGCTCTCTTTTCCTGGGAGGTATTTTACAAAGATGATTGCAGTTACAGGCATACAGAACACCCTCCACACTGGTTTCAAATGCACA